GATGACTAATGAGAGAATTACTTTAGGAGGGTACTGAAAATTTTGCATCTTTAAAACATGAAGACTTGGTTCAGGCAAGGCAGGAGGTATAGATAAGCAAACGGTCATCATTACACGTCATTAACCCTTCTCGTCTGCAGTTCCCATCACTCAGGAAAACATACCAGGGAAAACCCCATCTTAGACCATGTTTAAGGTATCCAAGAGGGTTTAAGGAGCATGATATAAAAGGGTGAGCATTCGTAGACATGACGTTAGGGCTTTTGAGTTTAGCACCTGGGGTACTCAGTTCTTGCTGTTGTTGAAGAGACATATCACCCAGCTTTTTTTTTTTTTTAATCCACATAGAAGTGCGTTCAGCAGATGCTGGCACACATTGGAGGTGAGAAATACGAACCAAAGTTCATGTCCTGAAGCGTGTAGCACAGAAGGTGGTTGGAAGCACTGCTCTGGGTCCCATCCGCCCGCGCTGAAGGCGGTCTCACAGGGGGAGTCTTCAGTTACTGGCAGAATCCCCTGTATTCAGTTCTCATTTGTTCACGTCTTCATCTCCCAGGGGCTCACTCTGAAAAGCTCTGCAGCCAACTCGTGGGATTTAGTTATTACTTTTAAAATAATAACTAAGACCCCTGTAATTGTGCCTCCTTTTGTCAGAGATGGCAATGTGGTCTTTTGTTCATTTTTATCAGCTGCTGATTAATGACCTTATAAGGAGGGAGCTTATGCTTTCCCAAAAGGACAGGTCTTAATTTAGGAATTTAGGGGAGTCAATGTGAGTGCCTTGGGCCAAGAAAGGCAAAGTCTCTAGCCATCTTTGAGAATACGTTCTTCTTAGTGCCAATTACTCATTTAACACCAACTTAAAGGATTGAAGATCATGTCTAGTCCTTAAAGTGAGTTCTGCGATTACTGTATAATTTAGCAGAAATGCTCCAAGTAGGAATCAGTCTTTCTAATAAAAAATTCCTGTTGACGAGACTGTGTTTTTATTTTTCGTGTGTGTGTGTGCGCGTGTGCGTGTGCGTGCGTGTGTGTGTGTGTGTGTGTGTGTGTGTGTGTGTGTGTGTGTGCGCGCGCTTTCAAGTTGGAGGCTGTACTGGCTAGTTTTATGTCAACTTGATACTTGCTAGAGTCATTTGGGAAGATGGACTCTGATTTGAAAAACATGCCTCCATAATATTGGTCTGGAGGCAAGTCTGTGAGGCATTTTCTTTATTAATGATTGGTATGGGAAAGCCCAGACTACTGGAGGTGGTGCCAACCTTGAGCTGGTGGTCCTGGGGTCTATAAGAAAGTGGGCTGAGCAAGCCATGGAGAGCAAGCCAGTAAGCAGCACTCCTCCATGGCCTCTGCATCAGCTCTGGCCCCCAGATTCTTGCCCTGATTGAGTTCCTGCTCTCACTGCTTTTCAGAATGAACTGTTATATGGAGCTGTGAGTGAAATAAACCCTTTCCTCTCCAAGTTGCTTTTGGTCATGGTGTTTCATCACAGAAATAGTAATGCTAATTAAGACAGAGGCATTTAGATAAAATGTAGCAGTTGGGTTTGAAACATTCCATTAGGTACATATAAAGCAAAATCCTCCTTCCCTAAGCCATTGGAGTTTTGTTGTTAAGACCTTATTGTTGTAAGCAGAACATTATGTGCTAGTCTTTTTATCAGTGTATTTAACTCTAACCTAAGGAGTATCAAATCATTTTTAATTATAGAAAACTTAATCATATATGTATTACCTGTAAGTTATATCTTTCACAAATCTTATGACATACTTTAATTTTCTGGTTTTGTCCTCATTTGTCTGTTTTCATTTTAGAACTCTCTTTTACTTTTATGACAAAACTAATTTATAATCTAAAATCTCTTCTTATCCAAAAGCAATGTGTTTTTCCTTTACTTTTCTTAATTGAAAATATTCACTCATATCTATAACTTTTTGCATCTTTCTTTCATACCTGGTCTCTCTCTCTCTCTCTCTCTCTCTCTCTCTCTCTCTCTCTCTCTCTCTCTTTTACTTTCAGGAGGGATAGAGACATGCTCCATGCTACTACTCACACGCAGAGGAGTCCTCTTAACCTTTGGAGGACTTTAATCTTTAGAAATCGGATTCTTGACTTTGCTGCAAAAAAAGAAATTCAGCATAAGTCAGTATGAAGCCAAGTTGGAGTTTATGAAAAGAAATTTTAATCTAGACTTTTAATTTTAATCACAAAGGTTAAAATAAAGATCATCAGCAAGACAGCTTTAAGTTTCTCATAGAGGAGACCTGCTTCCTTGTCTTTACACTAGCCACATATACCACGCTGGTGGGATTTGAAGCTAGAATAGCCAGAGTTGTTTAGGAACCTACATGAAATCCTAGGGTGCTTTTAATGAAGCGGAGCTCAGCGTATGGAGGATCCAGAGGTGAATAAGTGAGTAGGAGATGGGGGAGAGAAGGTAGTGATGGGATTTGTGAGCTGCCAGAATTAACTTACCTTTAGCAGTAAATATTAACCTTAAGTTTTAGTCAGCAGATGAAGTTAACATTCTAACTTTCTTTAAGATACCCAGAAAACCTGGTGATTTAAAGGCACCCAGGCAGCGAAGGTCTGACCAGTTTCCAGACCAGTTCAGGCAATGCACAATATTGTGTCTCTCATATTCCGAAGGAGCTCGCCATGTGGCTTTGGGAGAGCAGCCTTTCTCCCTGCATCTGGACCAACAGAACGACACAACTTCTGCTTCCAGGCCTCCTCCAGCCCAGCAGCCCTTTAGGTACCTGGTCCATGCTTTCGAGCACAAAATTTGATCTTGTTGCTTGGAAGTTAGGTCACCTTTGCCTCCATTCTGCCTGCCAGAGCCAATGTGACTCATGGGCATCATTGGGCCTTTCTTTTTAAATAAATAATAAAAAAAGATTTTATTTGTTTTTAACTATGTGTATATATGTGGGTGTGTACAGGAGAGCGTGCCAGTGACTACAGAGACCAGAAGAAAGTGTGGGATCCCCTGGAACTGAAGTTACAGATAATTACCAACATGCTGGAAACTGAACTCGGGTTCTCTGCAAGAGCAGAAGCTCTCTTAACCTCCGAGCCAGCCCTCCAGCCCCAATGTCAGGCCTTTCTCAAACTCTGCTCCAAAAATACAACCTTTCA